CCGCCACTGCTCTTAGGATTTTACCTTGGGAATCGCCGCACCCGGGAGCCCCCACCCCACCAACTCTGGCAAGAAGTGAAGGGCTCCAGGTGGCTGGGGGCTGAGCCAGAGCAGGACTCACCGCATGGCACATAAATCCAACATGCTACAGCCACAGTGGGCTTCCAGCTGGGCCTGCACGGGACTGCCGTTACCTCTGGGTGGGCAACGTGGAATTTTCATCGCCTCAGGAAGGGCCCGGGAGATGCCTGATGCGATGCACCTGACATCTGGCTGGATCTCTGAGTCAGAGATGCTGAGATGCTATGAAGCAGTTGCTTTGCACACGGGACTGCCCGCCTGCTCACAGAAGGCAATTTAGTTGGGGGCCACCTTCGTGCGTGTGTGTTATTTCTTGGCCTGTCTCACTTGTCTGAAGTGGTGTGAGCCTTAGCAACCTCACAGCAAACTAAGGCCATCAGCAGGGGGCTCCCTGGAGGCCGGGCAAACAGTGAAAGCCGCCCACAGGGCCTTTGTGCATACTGTGCTGCGAAACAGCCGATTCAACTTTGCACACGGACACTTCACTGTGTGAACGCTTGGGGGCTTCTCGTGCGTGAGGCTGGAGCGAAGAAAGGGAGCAAGCAGGGTGGCCATGGACTACTGAGGCTGAGAAACTGCATCCTGTGTCTATACAGCATGCAGTTAGATCAGCATCTACGAGAGCTGTGTCCTGTGATCCAGCACTGGCCAAGCCAAACCCACAATTACTTCCCTGTTGGCTCATGAGGCAGTAGGGCCTTTCTCTCCTGTTTTCCTTTTATTATTTTTTATAGAGCTCTATTATAATGGCGACAGATCTCATTTCACCACTTGTATTTCATTTCAGGAGCTGCGAGCATGTACGGGCTGAGGTTTTGCAGAATTCCATCATTCAGTTAGGAACGCGGCTCCTCCCTCCTCCCTAAGCACTCGGCTTTTCCCTCCGAGGGCGACGGATGGACAGGGATGGAGAGCACCATTCCCGAGGAAGGTCTTCCATACAAAAGGATCTGGGTCACGTTCACGCAAGACCCAAGGTGCAGAGTGCTCTTGTCCCGGGAGGTATTTGCAAAGTAGCAACGAGGGGCAGCAAAGGTAACCACTCACACGTTGCAAAGCCCAGTTTTTCATTCATGTCCGTTCCCCTCGAGCCTGACTTCAAGTCGTGTGTGTGCCACATGGAAGTCGGCCACACGAAAGCTCCCAGCCGTGACAATCACAGCAAGGTGCTGAGCTGGGGGCCAGGAGGGACGCATCTTTTCGTGCTGCCGTCTCTAACTCCCTGGCACACCTGGCCTGGGGCGCCCCGGTTGGAGAGGGGGTTGAGGGCGGTGGCTGCTGTCTCTCTGGAGGAATGCTGGGGAGATGGGGGGTTCAGGAGCTATGCCCCTGTCCCTTCTGCTCCTGCGCGGGGGATCCATGCCATGCTCCATGCTGTCCCTGACGAGAGCTCCCCAGGGCAGGACCCCTGTCTCCCGGACTGTGCCTCCACCCGCCCCTGCCGCATCCTGTAGGGTGGGTGCAGCCAGGTGCCCGTTCAAGGTCTCCAGAGTCAAAGCCAAGGGAATGCAGATCCCCGTTTCCTTTCATGGAGCTGATGCGTGTCAAGATCACACGGGGAGTCTGCAGAGTGTGCAGATCTGATCCACGGTCATCTATCCACTTGTCGGGCCTCCTGGCGAAAGGAGCCTTAGCTACACTGACAGCCACAGGGGCGGCCCGTCGTGTTCTGAAGAGCAGGCGCCACCAGGCCGCCCAGCTCTCAGTACTCTGCAAGGCGCCAGTGAGCCAACGGTCTGATGTACAACCCCCTCTACTGCTTCCCATCCAGCCAGCTGAGCCTCTCAGTGACAAGGAACTGGCTGCCACAGAGAATGCTCGGTTTGGAGGTCTGATAGGAAGGCTCCACCAAGCCCTGGCCAGCACAGGGTCTGTGAATACCAGAAGGGCTGGTTTCCTATGTCTTGTCTCCTTGGCCAGGGCATCATATCCACTGACTTAAACCAGCACTAATCAAGGTGTCACTGTATGAGGATATTGTATAGATGCTGTTAACATCGAGAATTCATTGACATTAAATAGAGGCAATTATCCTTAAGAATGCGGGTGGGGGCCTCGTATAATCAGTTGAAGGGCTAAAGAGCAAAAACTGAGCTTCTCCCTAAGGAAGAAGTCTCCCTCACAACTGTAGCAACAGCAACTCCTGCCTGAGTTTTCAGGCTGCCGGCCTGCCCTACAGATCCCAGACTTGACCCACACAACTGCGAGAGCCAATCCCTTAAAACGAATCTCAGCAGGGCCCAACCTATTGATTGTTTTTCTGGAGAATTCAACTGCCGTACCAGGCCAGGCCCCACACTCAGAGCTCTGGAAAGGGAGGGCAGGAGCACTGTAGCTGTCTCTACTGCAAAGAGGATCCATACCCGTCACCCTCCTGTCTTTCCAGAACATTCTTGGGGGTGGGCGATGATGACACTTGGTGACCTGCTGACAGCTGTGTTATGGCTCAATTCTACAAAGCTTTGGAGGTTCCTGAAGCACCTCCCCCCCCTCTACTGCTCTTTTCCATCCAAGAAGCATATGGACCTGGATCAAAGGTAGATGGAGTCAGCCGTGCACGCCTCACAGACGGTGCCTGCCCCATGTAGCACCATGGATCCAAGAGGAAGACAAAGGAGAATGAGAGCCCTGACCCTTTCACCGCCGAAACACATCACAGTTTGCTTCAAAACCTGCCTTTAAAACTCCCGTGATGGGAACATTCTGAGCGATTCTAGAATTTCTGAGGGCTGAAGGGGCGGTGAAGGATCCATTGTTCCCTCACAAGAAAACTGTCCAGTTCCACCCAAACGCTTGCATTTCCCAGAGAAGACATCCACCTTTGCGCGCCTGACAGGAACCGCCAAAGGGCCGGCCCCAGGCAGCTGGGCTGAGGAATGTGTGAGAAGATTTCTGGGAGCCCCATCCTTGGGGACTCTGCCCCTCAGCGTTCCTGTCCCAGATCCCTGTGGGGACCTCCTCGAGCCGGGAAGGCTGGCCATGGCCCCAGCCAGGCAGGGAGCGGACGCTGGCCGCGGAGAAGAAGCCCGGGCCGCCCCAAGGGAAATGGTGTCCACTTCTCCTGCAAGACAGCAGGCTTCTTCTGTTTGCATATTTTGTTAGATTCAGGAATAGCCCAGCGAGAATAAGGGAAGGTTCTGTTTCTCCAGCGCCATCCTTGCCTCCTCGCTTGGTCTCCTGAGGCTGCTCAGTCCAGCCCGGCAATCCCCAGAGCTGGTGGCGGGCCAGGCCCGGGAAATACGGGCCAGGGCATGGCTCACTCTACTGACGCTGACTGGTAATTATCTCAGTGCCCTTTGCCCGAAGCGTTCTCTCTCTCCTTCGCTCTCTTTCTCTCTCTCTCTCCCATACACAATGTCTCCCTCACACAACTTTCCTCTAACACACAGACTCACACATGCATGTGCTGATGTATTCCTTGCAGAAAACTAGCCTTGGAAGGGGTGTTAAGTACTCAGTGCTCACAGCACGAGGAGTGGAAATGTTCTATCAGAGGGAAAGGTTTACCTGTGAAATAGTTACATGTAACTGTCAACTGGCCGGGCCAGGACTCCGCTATCCTGGACTGCATTTTCAATTTCATTTTCTACTGAGGTCCCTTTGTCCTCATGGGTGTCTAGAAATGACTGCCTTGCCGGGCCTACTTTGCCTTGAATTCCACCTAAAAGACCAGCACTGTAGCAAGATTCAACATCAGAGCCATCATTCCCATCTTCCAGAAGAAGCTAGGTGCACCGAGTGGACGGACTTTTCGGAGCCGAGGAAAACTCTTACATCTCCCGTCTCCCTGTCTGGAATGTCAGCCTCCCCGCGGACATTCCCTCTAAAGCACCGTGACTTGGCACTTTCATCAACTAGAGGTTGACGCAATGGTTTCCAGGGCTTATAAAACATGACAATTATAAAAGGCGCATTTAGCATTAAAATATATGTGAAGCAAAAAAGGGGCCCCTGGTAGGTGCAACAGAGTGGAAAATGCACCGGGTGGTGGAGTCAGACACCCTTGGTTTGAATCCAATCGCTCTAAGCTGTGACCTGAAGTTAGCCAGAAGACGCCAGAGCCTTACTTTCCTCATCCATCAAGCGGGGACAAGCATTCTTCACGAGGCTGTTTGGGGGATTCATAGCTCGCTGGGTATAAAAGAGCTTTGTACCTCACAAAGAAGCAGGAAACGTGAGCTGTTCGTAGGTCTCTATGTCAGATTATTACATCTAAAAGAAATTATCCTTCGTCCTGAGAGTTTATGTTCTTTCGGAATATATATGGGGTCTTACGTCACAATTCACATCAAGTTTACTTTTCAAAACTGCATCTGATGAAACGCTTTGGAGTGTCAGGTACCCTGTGCCGCACTCGATAATACATCCTGTGTGATGGCAGCATCATCGTGACAAAGTCAGGAAAGTCAAGACATCCGGCGTGCTGTTGGAGCTTGGTTTTAAGTGCAAGGAAAGGCAAGAAGAAATGGCGAGCACTAAGAAGGCAGGGGCGGAAGGCATTTGAACTAGACCCTTTAGCCAAGTCATATGGCCTGGACAGATGCAGTGCTGCCTGACCACTAGCTGACACTCTCCCTCCATCAGAACATAAGACGGCATTATTTTCCAGGCAATGAAAACCTCAGAGACGAATTCTGCCATATGTGGCCACGGCCCCCCTCCCACAGAGCTCTTATGCCTGGGAAACAGAACTGAGCACCACATCTTCAAAGAGACTTCTTGGTAAATATACTACCGGTTTTACAACCTCTCTCCTTCACGCAAACCACTGGAGAGCACATTTTCTCAGCCCTGCCTGACGTTACTACTCAATGGTCTTCCTTGCTGCAGCAATCCTTGGACAAGCCCAACACATCTGCCTTTTCCAGGGACAGGAAAAATCCGAAGTCAGGGAGAAAAGGGGGCAGGAGCGTCCTTACCTTGAGCCGTTCACCTGGTTTGGGTTACACTCCATTTTGATGGTGACCCTGGCCGGAGGTTGAGATAGCCAGTCCTGCTGAGGGACGCGGGGGCTCATCTTGGATGTCTGTCCATAGTCGCCGGAGGAGGACGCGGTCATGTCCGTCTTGGTTAGGTGTGGCGTCCCGTAGGCACACTCAAACAATGACTGGTCCTCGCTCACGACCGATAGCGCTTCCTGAATGCCCAAAGAAACACACGTTCAGGACATGCCGAAGGACAGTCATGCCTCAAAGAGTTGCCAGCTTGAGAGTCATCGCTAACTGGGACCACGTTTTAGGTGTTTTTTGTGGCATCCATGTCTATCTTTGAGAGGAAAGAAGTAAGGTTTTCTTCCCTCCAGGCTGTAACAGTTGGAACCGGCTAGCCCAGGAAAACTTTCCTGTGGGTCTCCTAGCCTCCCCGGCTTAACTGCCGCAGTGCAGATAATACCCACTTTAATCTCAACTCAAGGAAGTTGAATTTCAAAGGTCTTAGAAGACATCCAATTGCATGTGTCATTATTTGACAAATGCAATCTATAATTCAAGCAGACAGGGTACAGAATGGTCATGGAGATTAAAAAAAGAAATGTGGTGGAGAACACCTAAGCATCTGGTAAAATTGCCACATTCCCAGGAGATTTTCAAGAGGAGGCACTTAGAAGAAGAGTAAGGGGAAGTGGGGCACTGAAGGATGAACGGACAAAGGTACGGATTTTTCCACTTCGAACTTATTAGCTGAAATAGAGTTTCAAGTAGTGCTTCCATGATGGCGAACATCTGGATGATAAATGAACCAGAAAAAAAAAGAAAGAAAAAAATCTCTGAATTATCCAGATGCCTCCAAATACCAGGATGTTTAAAATATCTGGGATCACTGATGAGTTCTTTTTCTCCCTTACATTCTATTAATATCTTTTGTCCTTTGTGTGATTTGGTGCAAAGAAATAGAAAATATTCATCACTGTTGGTCATTTTTGTGGGGCTCTAAGTCAAACAAGTGGTTGACCTATGGCCACACGTGTATTCTATTCAGCAGATCGGCAATGGCAAATTAGATCTGGAAATTTCAATGGCTTGAATAATAGATACACCGTGCCATGGAAGGAGCTATGGGACAATCCAATTTTGGTTTCTCTAACAGACACAAGAAACCCAAGTGATAGCTCATTTTTATTTCAGTCCTTGGGCATCCACAGTTATTGCTATCAACTGATGAGAAGCAAACGCTGTTTGGGTCATAAATTTTTTTAAAGAAAAAAATGAAAATTTCAGGGTCGCCTGGGTGGCTCAGTCGGTTAAACATCCAACTTCAGCTTAGGTCACAATTTCATGGTTTGTGAGCTCGAGCCCCACATCGGGCTCGCTGCTGTCAGTGCAGAACCGACTTTGGATCCTTTGTTTCCCACTCTGTGCCTGCCGCTCTCCCCATGTGCTCTCTCTTGTATCTCTCGAAAGAAAGAAAGAAAGAAAGAAAGAAAGAAAGAAAGAAAGAAAGAAAGAAAGAAAGAAAGAAAGAAAGAAAGAAAGAAAAAGAATGGAAGGAAGGAAGGAAGATGAAACATTTTTTTTTAATGGAAATTTTGGTAACAGGGTGGGTGGGGGGCAGTAGAGACTTTAGTCCAAAATGTTTATCTCCAAAGGAGAGACTCTGAGATACAGAAAAGTCCAGAACTCACCTTGAAGGGAGCTGTGGAATTAGGGATAGATCGGACTTATGTTTTACTATCCACTCCCCTCAGCCTACAACGATGCCTTTCTTACATTTCTGAGTTTGGGATACTGTTTACATTAGCACTCCCTTCTTCTTCGAGTTGATATTCAGTAAATAAGGATGCTCCCTGTTAGTAACAGAGACTTACGAGGCAGCCTTTTGAAGATATAGACCTCTCTCCTCACAGAAGTATCAGGATTATTAGAGAAAACGTTGTAATTTCACAAAGCACCCCTCCAAACTCCGCTCGGCCACTGGAGGACTAACTCATAAGCACATGAATTCATTGCCCGACAACACTGCGCTATAAATCAGTGAGTAGGAAGAACCACCAGCAACAAACTCAGTGCTCTGGACATCAGAATGGCAGCCAGGTGCCTGTGCATATATACACCCCCCCCACCCTCTCTTCTTAAAAATCCCTAAAATCAGTTTGTGCAGTTTGTGCCGCTTGAGGCAAGAGTCAACTGGCGGTGGAAAAGTAACACAAAACATACGAAAGGACAGCTTGGGCCCACCAGGCAGCCACAATTAGACACAAGGAAGGAACCAAAAAACAAAAACAAAAGCAAAAACAAAACAAAACAAAAAAACGTAAGGCATCTTGAATCCACAGCAAAATCAAACACATCAACAACAGCAGCAATACAAGGCAGCTGCTCTGAAGCTCTGGGCCTAGGAGATGTTAGGGGGACCTGAGTTACATGGCTCTCTCTTCTGGTCACACGGGGAGTAAAGGAATCTAAGAATTTTAAATTCATAGACACGAGCTCATGAGTAAACTCGGCACCATGGATCTAGTGTAGTTGTGCTATTTTAAAAAGACATAAATCATAGCTTCTTATATAATTTTTGCAAAACTGAGTCTCCCTTCCCATAGCAGCACGTGGACAGAAAGGGTTCACGTGGTCAGAACAGGAAATGGGGCCGACGCCTGCCCCCGTCTCCTGCCTGGTCCCGCAGACGAGACCAAGTTCAGAGATAGGATAACACACTGTGCAAGGTTAGCGCCAGCTCCCCGGTGAAGAGAAACACGAATAAATGTGTGATTTGTATAAGAACTCAGCAGAAACAGGTGAAGGAGGAGGGATAGGCTAGGTTTTAAATTACAAGTGAAAAAGAAAAAAAGATCTTCCCGACAAAAAGAGTCACAACGTCAAAATATGAGTATACCTCCAAGATAAAGTAGGGTGGTTCTGCAAACAGTTCCAGGGACCAAATAAACGTAGCATAAGATTTTAAAAAGTGGACTGAAATAGTAGAACTAAGACAAGGCTCCAATGTGCGTTTGGAGAGGCAGGAACCCATTCTCACATCTGGCAAAGCCTTATTGCACCACATGGTTTTCTAAAGAAAGAAATCAAAGTTAATTGAGATCGATTTAGGGGGAAAAAAACTTACAAAAGCCAAAGATAAGGGAGACACACATCTTTTCTTCATATCTTAAAACTCCCCTCAAAGTTCACATTGCATAAAAAATGAGGAAGGTGGCGTGATTCAGAATATCAAAGGTTGCTTTTGTTCACTAGAGGAGAAAGGGCCCAAAAGTGAGGGAGATTCACCACAGACATTTCAAGAAGAGTGAAATCGAAGCCACATTCTGGAAAGATGGAGCGATAAAAAAGCATGCCCCGAAGTGATTCTAACTAGCCCAAAACTGCCAAGCCCTTAGCATTAAGCACAGGTCCGGAAGAGGAAACAAACAAAATCAATCTCTCTACCTGTCTCTGTCTTTCTCTGTCTCTGTCTGTCTGTCTGTCTGTCTCTCTCTCTCTCACACACACACAGTTGCCCACACATTTAACAACAGGAGAGTAAAAAGGAGCCTAAGGGTGATCGTCAGAGACCCGCTTCAACAAGGATAATCACTAAAAGTAACTGCTGCTCGTTAGAAGAAAACAAGCAAGAGACACCCCGGGCCAGCAAGTGCTTCTTTGTCCATCCAGCTGCCTTAGCTACATCCTCCCTTTAGCGCCGTGGGAATGACAGACGCTGATGCAGAGGAATCACCCCCTCTCCCCCCTTGGCAGCTCTGGGACTTCAAAGCGGGAGAGGATCTCGTCCCGCAGGATTAAAACCAGAACGGAGCTCTGAGCACAGGCTCGTAACCAGGAACACATGAGAAACCTCAACTCCAGCTTGGCAAGGGACTTCTGGCTGTAGCGGACGCTGTCCCGGCTGCTCTCTTCGTCTGGCCACCTCACCTACCTACCTGCCTACCTGCCTGAAGTGTCAGCAGATGCCTTAGGTAACATGCATAGGCTATGCTCTCAGAGCCTTCATCTGGCCGCACGACCTGGGAACTGCTTTGGCTGCCTTATAACAGAGAACTCCAAAAAAAAAAAAGTCAAAACCTGGCAGAAACGTGGCATAATAATTTAATAGGCCTGCCTCTATGTTACTATAAAAAGACCTGAACTTTAGATTGGTGTGTGCTAGTGTGTGGGGGTGTTTTCTCTGTAGCTCCAGGAAAGTTGGGATATTCCGATGTGGCAAGTGGCACACTACCAACCTCGTTTTTTATGAACTTAGGAGACACACATAAATTCAAAGCAAATTGCCCCCAAATTAAAGGTAGCGCTGTGTTAGTACTACAGTGTTTATTATTTCATAGGAACGTACCCAATGCATCAATAACGTACAAAGACCATTCTTTCAGAGCTTGGTCAGGGGAGAACAGATGACTGATAGTTGCAGAAACTGGGGAGCTCTCAATCAAATGATATTTCATAGTGTGAAACTAAAATTCGATTTATTTTCTTTAAAATTTTTTTTAAGGTTTATTCATTTTTGAGAGAGAGACAGAGCATGATGAGGGGAGGGGCAGAGAGAGAAGGAGACACAGACTCTGAAGCAGCTCCAGGCTCTGCACAGAGCCCGACATAGGGCTTGAACTCACAGACCACGAGATCATGACTTGAGTTGAAGTCGGATGCTTAACTGACTGAGCCACCTGGGCACCCCACAATTTATTTTCAAGTAACTAGATTTGGGTATGGGAAAGGATCCAAATGCTTCCATTCAAAAGATAATAATAAAAGTGGAATGCACTTTGTAAGCACACTGACATTTTCCGCAAAAGATGTCAGGGATCTTGAAACAGATGAATTCCTTTCTACAGCAGATGAATATTTTGAGAGGCTCCTATATTTCAAGTAAAAGAATCAGAAAATAAGGGTCTGGGCTCCTGTTTGCCTCTAATTTTGTGACCCCCGATGGCTAAAAGTACTAAGTTGTTAATCCAGAGAACCCAACATACTTAGATTTTCATGAAATCTGGGTTGGACATGGAAGCAAGTCTCCGAATGATCAGCCCTCCTTTATAACAGAAGCAAGTGGGACACAGAGACAAGTCCTTACGTGGTTTTCAAAACTTTGAGAAACATCCAGAACTCAGTGTCCATAGAAATTGAGTCCCAAACCCATCTCTCTCCAGCTTGCTCAAGGGCCACATGCCTCCAGTAGTTAGGAAAAACAAGTGGA